TGTATGTATGTATGTATGTATGTATGTATGTGGGTGTGCATTTCATAGCAGTGTCTGTTATGTTTGGTGCTCAGTGAGGCATCCACAGGCAGCAGGTGAACAAACAACTCTTTATTAAAGGTTTAAACAGAAGCCTGAATAACTGCAACTCCACCCTTATTTATATATATTCAACAACTAGGTGGCAGCCAATAGGATTCAAGTATTAGTTCCCGCTTTAACACAAGATAATTAGCATGTAGACAGCAAGTCTGGCTCTTAACTGACAAAGTCTTATGACCGTTTTTTTTCAACAATTCCAAATACTTTACCTCAATACATTACAGTGTCTATGGCACGGGTAGGCAACCTTGGCTCTTTTATGACTCGTGGACTTCAACTCCCAGAATTCCTGAGCCAGCCATGCTGGCTCAGGAATTCTGGGAGTTGAAGTCCACGAGTCATAAAAGAGCCAAGGTTGTCTGCCCCTGGTCTATGGAGATTCTCAGTCATCCAGGTCATAGTTATCCCAAGGATGCTTTTTCACGAGGCATCTGGACTTTCTTGTTTTCCTTTGAAGACGTTTCGCTTCTCATCCAAGAAGTTTCTTCAGCTCTGACTGGATGGTGGGGGATGGAAGGATTTATACTCCTTGCAGACAGCTGGTCGTTTGCATTTGCATTGGGAAAACAAAACAACCACTTCATAAATGCATGGCACAACATAGGAGAACAAGCCCATCAGGACAAGATTCAGCAATTCATCTGCATTTAAAAGACAAAGGCCATACTTTTCAAGACAGCAAAGTCCACATTTTGGACAGAGAGGACCGCTGGTTTGAAAGAGGGGTCAAAGAGGCCATCTCGGTCAAAATTGAACAGCCCTCCCTCAACAAAGGGGGAGGGATATGGCATCATCTATCTCCAGTCTACAATACAGTCCTTTCAGCAGTTCCAAGAGGACTCCACACACATTGGCACCACTCAGGTGACCCTGACAACACAGATAAACCTCCAGGTGGCCTCAACGACTCTCTAAAAGAATTGCAAATGACCATCTGGCTGAGAAGCAAAACCTCTTCAAAGAAAAACAAGAAAGTCCAGTTGCCTCCTGAAAAAGCATCTTTGGGATTCAGAGCAGTGTCGTCTCTCTCTTCCCTTAAATAATTTTGGACAAGAACATCCTATCAATGTCTAGGAACGCAACTTTCTTTTTCTTCCTTTTCCTTAGCTTGAAAATTTGAAGCATCTTTTGCTCCGTGGGAAGATTTTTATTGTTTGAGGATCGAAGTCCCACTCCCCCCCCCGAGATGGCTCAGTGGGTCACTTTTTGCCATTCTGCTCCTAGGACTGAAAGTCCTTTTGCAAACCCAGGGCAGACTTTGGGTGGGTGTGGACCAGTACTTCAATACACTAGAAAAGTCGGGTCACAAGATCCAGAAGGAGAAGGGCCCCAGATTGGCTTGGTTGGGTCTACTGAGAAGTTCTGGAAAAGAACTAGGAAGAACAACCTGGAAGGAGAAACCACCGGATGGCCTGGAGAACATCACCTTTGCCAGACGTTCTGCCAGAAAGAAGCAGAGACACCTCGAGAGCTTTGCAGTCATCTACACCATCTTTGCCGTCAATGGTTGAAGCCAGAGAAGCACACGAAAGCTCAGATGTTGGACTTGGTGGTCCTGGAGCAGTTCCTGGCCATCCTGCCTCCAGAGATGGAGCGCTGGGTGAGGGAGTGTGGAGTGGAGACCAGCTCCCAGGCGGTAGCCCTCGCAGAAGGTTTCCTCCTGAGCCAGGTAGAAGAGAAGAAGCTGGCAGAAATGCAGGTGAGACAAAAATCATTGTACAGGTAAATCCTTGACCCAAAGGTATTTCTTCAGCAGCAACTGGACTTTCTTGTTTTCTTTCTTTGAAGACGTTTTGCTTCTCATCCAAGAAGTATAGTAGTAACTGTGAGAGGGATCTCGGAGTCCTAGTGGACAATCCCTTAAATAGGAGCCAGCCGTGTGCTGCAGCTGCCAAAAAAGCCAACACAGTGCTGGGCTGCATTAACAGAGGGATAGAATCAAGATCACGTGAAGTATTAATACCACTTTACAATGACTTGGTAAGGCCACACTTGGAATACTGCATCCAGTTTTGGTCACCGCGATGTAAAAAAGATGTTGAGACTCTGCAAAGAGTACAGAGAAGAGCAACAAAGATGATTAGGGGACTGGAGGCTAAAGCATATAAGGAACGGTTGCTGGAATTGGGTATGTCTAGTTCAGGGGTAGGCAACCTCGGCTCTTTTATGACTCATGGACTTCAGTTACCAGAATTCCTGAGTCAGCTATGCTGTCTCAGGAATTCTGGGAGTTGAAGTCCATGAGTCATAAAAGAGCCGAGGTTGCCTACCCCTGGTCTAGTTTAATGAAGAGAAGGACGAGGGGGGACATGATAGCAGTGTTCCAATATCTCAGGGGCTGCCACAAAGAAGAGGGAGTCAAGCTATTTTCTAAAGCACCTGAAGGCAGGACAAGAAGCAACAGGTGGAAACTAACCAAGGAGAGAAGCAACCTAGAACTAAGGAGAAAGTTCCTGACAGTTAGAACAATTAACCAGTGGAACAACCTGCCTCCAGAAGCGGTGAATGCTCCAACACTGGAAGTTTTTAAGAAGAGACTGGACAGCCATTTGTCCGAAATGGTATAGGGTTTCCTGCCTGAGCAGGGGGTTGGACTAGATGACCTCCAAGGTCCCTTCCAACTTTATAATAATAATTATTATTAAGCTTCTTTAGCTCTGACTGGATGGTGGGGAATGGAAGAATTTATATTCCTTACAGACAGCTGGTCATTTGCATTCTTTTAGAGAGTCATTAAGGCCACTTGGGGGTTTATCTGTGTCCTCAGGGTCACCCACAAAAGCACCTTTGAGGCAACCATGACCTGGATGACTGAGAATCTCCATAGGCAGACAGGTAATCCTTGACTTAACAACAGTTCATTTAGTGACCAAAGTTACAACAGCATTTTAAGAAATGACTTATGACCATTTTTCTGTCATCGTTGCGGCAGCCCCCTGGTCACGTAATCAAAATTCTGATGCTGGGCAACTGTCTCATATTTATGACCGTTGTAGTGTCCCAGGATCATGTGATCCCCTTTTGCGATCTTCTGACAAGCAAAGTCAATGGGGAAGCCAGATTCACTTAACAATCGGGTTACTAACGTATCAACGGCAGTGACTGACTTAACAGCTGCGACAAGGATAGTTGTAAAATGGAACAAAACTCACTTAACAGCTGTCTTGCTTGGTAATGGAAATGTTGGGCTTAATTGTGGTCGTACGTCAATAATAAATAATAATAATAATAATAAATTTAATTTATATGCCGCCCTTCTCCCAACGGGACTCAGGGCGG